ATGCCAGTTAATGGCGACAGCTACTTGACAGGATAACGGATGTGCGCTTCTGAATGCCTACTTCACTACACGTGTGTGCACGCGCGTTAGGTTCGCTCTTCGTTAAAAGATGAAACACAGACAGAGACGCAGAAGCCTTACCTGATTTGGCTTCAGATACGACGGTTGTAGAGATTCTACCCGCCTCGGATGCCATCCGTCCGAACGAAACGCCATTGGACGACAGTGCGGCGAGCGACATTGTGGGAGAGAGATCTGATGGATGACGGTTATAGATGCAGGTCAGGTCAATCTTAGAGGCTCAAGCACAAGAGCCACAACACAGTGATCAGGATGCGAAACGAAACTAATGAGCACTTGTGTTGAGTTCCGGTTCCTTGCAGGAATATCTATGCTGGACACTAAGCTTTCAGTGGTTTCCAAGAGGCCTTCTTCTCAATGTGGGATGTCATCACAACTACTGAAGATGTATATGATTGGTTTGAGGTTCCAGATGGAAGGACAGGACTGCTTTCTTTGATCACGATCTGTACTCAAACTGCACGTTTAGGTAAGAGGGGTCTGATCTGGTACCAAAACAGATGTTGAATGAGCCCTCGTCTGTGCATCTGCGACGCGCCACGGAGTGCTTTTTTTTTTTTTTTTTTTTTAGGGATGTATTACACTATTCAATGCATACACCCACGGAGTGCATTTTGGACCGACAGATGGCTGCCACGCTGTTCGCGCTGGTTGGTCGCCGTTCTCACGTGTGGTTCCCAGCTAGAGGCGCGACACATGGCATTACGTAATTAACATCTGAAATCTCTTTGATTGGCTAGGATTAGTGTACTTCCAGTCTCAAGGGAACGCACCTCCACCTCAGCGCAATAAAAATACTGGTACACTCAACCATGAACTTGGTTGCTTGATTCAATTCATACCACTCTAAACGTAAGCTATATTGATCCCATACACTCCCACATGTAATAGCAGGAAGGACACCTATCAAAGGCTTGTTTATCACCATATTTTGACATGCATAGAATGGAACAACACCAAAATGTCACTTCGTAAGCCCAGTAACCACTTAATCATTCCCTGATCCAAAAGCTGAGCGAAGGGCATCGCACACTAGTTCCATGCGCATTCCTCGGCTCCCCTTCACCAGCACCACATCTCCCAACTGTATCAACCCCATATCCACCGCTTCTTTAGACGCTTCAAATAGAGACTCTGCAATGCATGCAGATAACGCTATAGCCTCTGCAAGGTCTTGTGCCGAATCAAACGCATGCACCTCCAAGCGCCTCTCCCCACCACCTTCCAGAAAACAGTGCAGACGGCCGATTTTCCACTCCCCACTGTCTCTATCATCTTCATTACTGCAGCTCCCATCCTCACCCCTCTCCATTCCTTCCTCTGCGCCTCCCCTCACTCTCCTTTGCACCACTTTCCCCAGAGCGGACTTGAAGGCCGCGCCAGCCGCCAGGACGAGAGAGATTCCTGAGAGGGAGAGGCAGAGGGAGAGAGCGTCCACATGTGCACTCTCTGATTGGCTGCCCAGCTCCAGCATGTCGCCCAGCACCGCCACGTGGCGGCCTGAGACTGGTGGAGAGGAGGCGGCGGAGGAGGCAGAGGGGGCAGTTGATTCCAGCGAGAGCTGATGCAGAAGGTGAAGAGCCGACGCAACACTGATTGGACTGGCGTTATAAGCATCATTCAGTACAGTCACACCGATTCCCTCGTGTCCCTCTCCCTTCCCTTCGCTCCTCTTGCCCTCCTCTCCCGCCGCTCCTCTCCTCCGAATCCGCTCGACCCGCATCCTCATCCCGATGGGCTCGTACAGCGCCATGTGTCGCGCTGCCATTGGCAGAGGCACGCCTGCCGCCACGGCCACGGCTGCGGCTGCAAGGGCGTTGTCAGCCAGATGCAACCCGGGGCTGTTGATCCGCACACACACCGTTTTGTCGTCTGCATTGCTCTCCTTCCCATGCACATCCCTCGTGTTCTCAATGTCTCCATCGGAATTCAAACGCACGGCCCCGGCTCCGGCACTCAGTGCACTGCTGCTTGGATCCGTGCTCTCCTCCTTGCTGCTCTGCCATTCCACCCCTCTTCCCCCTCCGCGTCCTTCTGCTGCTGTTCCTCCTGTGCGTGCCAGGTTGTTGTGAATGCAAGCTTCAACCGCCATGCCGCCATCCACAGCGCGCGCCCACAGCAGCTGCACGTCGCAGCCGGGTGAGCGACCAAATGTGATCTGCGGGGACACGCGGGTGGGTGGAAGGGGATGGGAGGGAGGAATTAGGCCTTTGCCAGTAGTGCGACTGCGCCTCCTCCTCCTGTGCGTGCCAGGTTGCAATGCTTCAACTGCCATGCCACCATCCACAGCCCATGCCCACAGCAGCTGCACGTCACTGGTGGCGGAGAGGCCAAAGGTGATCTGCAGGAACATGCGGGTGCAAGGTGTTGGGAGGAGGATAGGATTAGGCTTCAGAGAGCTCAGGTTCAGCTGGTAAATTTTACAAATTTGTTTGGGGAGCATGTGAGAGGCCTTTTTTCCAACAAATGCACCCAGCCCACTCCGGCCTTCTCGCTTCGCGTTGCCGGCCAGCACACTTGGAACCACTTTCGTACGAACACACTCACTCACCCGACTGACTCCTCTTCCAATCGGCAGTCCCATGACTAGAGCATCGTCGCCATTCACCACGCACACACAAGCCCAGTGTGCTCATGTCGCTGCCGCACACAAAGAAGTGCCTGCATACACAAGTGCTCCCACACACTCACCCGTCTCACTCCTCTCCCCATTGGCAGCCCCATGACTCGCGCATCGTCGCCATTCACCACGCATATATCTCCCTCCCTCGCATCCGCCAGCATCTCCCCTTTGGCCTCTGCTATGGCCTCCAAAGACCCGAGTGAAGGGTCCCCGATGTGAGCGGGGCCGACATTGAGAAGCAGTCGGATGGAGGGAGCGGCGATGGAAGAGAGGAGGGCGATTTCACCCCGCGCACTCATTCCCATCTCCACCACACACGCTGCTGATGCCTGGGGGAGGGCTGGTAGCGCGTTTAAAGGGGGGTGTGCAGTGCAGGATAGGGTAGGGGAGAAGAGGGGGAGGACAGCATATTTAGCCAAGCATCAAAACCAACAAGAATAATACAAGACTTTTGAGACGTCTCAAAAGACAGCATATTTAGCAAGGCATCAAAACCGACACTTTAACAAGAAACAGGAGAACAAAAACAATACATGCCTCGAACATGCTGACATGAGCATCACCCACCCCGCCATCATTTGCACGTACCTAAGAGAGTGAGCGGCACTCCAATGTGGTTGTTCAGATTGCCCTGGGTCTGCTCACAGCAGGTGTGGGGCCACGGGGACACACATGTGTGGAATGGGGGATGACATGGGAAGAGATGGAAGCGATGCAATGTAAGAGATGATGGGAGTCATGGAACGAAAGGGCCTTTTGAGAGCCCCCACCATACTCCACCCCATTTCCCCCTCCCTCCAATGCACCGGGTGCACAGCCCCCGGAGGCGACAGCACCAAGCCACCCGGTGCCCCCCCACCCCATTCCACCCCATTCCACCCCATTCCACCCTATTCCACCCCATTCCACCCCATTCCACCATGCAGCACCCACCTGGTGCACAGCCCCCAGGGGCGAGAGCGCGAGGGCAGTTAAGGCCCGCGCCGTAGTCTTCCCCACGCTGCCTGTCACCCCCACCACCACGCCGCCGAACCTCCGCCGAGCCTCCCTCGCCAAGCCTTGCAGCGTGCCGAGCGTGTCTGGCACCACCACCAACCCGCCCTGCCATCCCTCTGGCAGCAGGTTGGGAGGCACGTTTGATTCCCCTGCTCCGTTTTCACCTCTTAACCCCTCTTCACCCCTCGCCATACCTTCCTTCCTTGCATCCTTCCCTCTTAACCCCTCTTTCGCGCATCCCCCCTCTTCCCCATTCCCTGTCTCCCTTCCGCCGCCCCCCTCCGGCGCATTCCCCCCACTCCCCGCTTCCCCCTTTTCCCCCCATCCGTCCCCCATAACAACCGCCCCCCCGCACCCCCTCCGCGCCGCCTCTTCCAGGAAATCCGCACCGTCGAATCGCGGCCCTCTTAGAGCCAGGAACCAATCGCCGGGCGCCAGTTGGCGCGTGTCAGTGCAGACGCGCCCCGGCGGGCAGTCCCTGATGACCGTGCCCCCTGCCACGTCAGCGATTTCCTGCGCGCTCCACACGGAGCCAGTCCACTCGCTCGAGCCGCCCCCCCCGCCGCCGCCGCCACTGCCTGCGGCCGCCGCCGCACCACTGGAACCATTAACCCGCGGTCTCGCCGCGTTTGCGCCCTCCCCGCCACTCCTGGTGGAAGCTTCCGCGCGGGGTGTTTGCATAGCGGCGCGGGTGAAACGCAATGCGCGCGCGCGGGCGCGGCCGTGGGGAAGGCTAGGCGCGGGGCAAGCTGGTTCGGGAGGAAACGGCGCGGCGAGCGCGGGTGGACGCGCCGACGGCGGAGGAAAGCGGATGAAACAGCGCGCTACGACGCCTGAGTTTCTGTCGCACGGATGTCGGCTACTGTCGCACGACCTTCTACCGTCGCACAACGATCGCCTGCAAATGGCGAGGTCAGCGACAGCGGCGGCGGAGCAAGCGCCCGCCGGCATGAGGGGAATCGGAAACGAGACGAGAGAAGACAAAAGAGATTCCTGCGGGACTGGAGAAGACTAGGCGACGCGGTACAATGGACGCATCGCCTGGGAGTTCGTGCGCTTGCCGAATGGGAGGAGTTCTTGTCGACTGGTGTGTGATCCTAATTTACCGTGCCGAACCAGACCCAACCGAGGTTCCCAGTCCCTTCGGTGATACCCGTATCGTTACTCGGGGTGGCAGCTTCAGGAGCGGCAGAAAAATCAAGAGACGGAACACCCTTGGGGCCCGCCGAATAAATGCATGGGAGCACAACCAGAATGGGGAAGAAAAATAACCTAGCACAAAATAACAAAATCTCCATACCTACTGCATCGGTGCCTGACCGTACATGTACTGTTGAGACGGCATGCTCCCCGCATTGTACACTCCCCCATTTTGCCCCGAAAAATCACCCCCTTGCACACCCCCTTCCCCTGGCCCCATCTGTCCTTGCCCCTGATAACCCCCATTTCCCTGCCCTAGAACATTATACGCAGGGGGGGGAGCGCCAGTGGCAGCATTGGGAGGATAAGCAGTGTAGGGAGGGGGAGGGGGAGCGAGAGAATACTGAGGCATGGCAGCAGAGGTCTGTTGGGGAGGAGGGGATTGAGAAGGGAGAGGGGGAGGAGGGGGCAAGGGGGGGAACGACATGCCATCCATGTTCAGTGGGGGTGGGGGCGGGGGGAACATTGCATCGTTCGGGGAAGCAAAGGCAGCGGCAGTGGCGGGAGGAGCTGCAAACGAGTGTGATAGAGGCTGTGTGCTTGTATCGGTGGGTCGCAGCCGCTTCTCAGGTGGCTGAGAAGGGTCGTTTGTAGCATCTGCCCCAGAAACTGGTGCTCCTGGAATCTGTAACCCCCCACCACCGCCACCACCACCATCCCCCCCGCCACCTGCACCAGCAGCGTCAGCCGGAGCAGCAGCGGCGGCGGCGGCTCCTGCTGCTACTGATTGCCCAGCCGCAAACGACGAAAGAACGGATTTTAAAATTGCGGCAGATGATGCCGAAGCTACCAGCTGGCTCGTCAGCTCCGCCGCCCGCTTCCGCCGAGCCTCCCGCTCAGCGTCGGTAACCCCACCAGCTCCGGCACCCGCGCCTGCCGATGCAGCAAGACCAGCCGGCAAACCAGGATTGCCGGCAGCCGCAGCAGAAGCAGCGGCGGCAGCAGCGGCAGCGGCAGCAGCAGCAGGGGTAGAGGCTTGAGAGCTGTTCACTGCAGCAGCGGCGGCGGCAGCGGCTGCAGCAGCAGCAGCAACCATCTCAGGAGGCGTGCCTGGGGGAGGTTGGAAGCCGGGAAGAACGAAGGCGGGGGCAGCAGCAGCAGGAGCAGCAGTAGCAGCAGAAGAAGCTGCTGCAGGAGTGCCCTGTGGGGCTGCAAAGAATGCTGAGGCGGATGGTGTTGGTGCAGCAGCAGTGGTGGCCGGGGCAGCAGCCGCAACAGCGGAGGGGTTGGCTGCAGCAGTGAGGCCTGCAGAGGCACGGGCAGCGTCCTCCTCTGTGGCTCGCTTGCGCAGGTTGGCTGCTATCTCCGACTGCGTGCGCGCGATCTGCAGTGAGCAGGGGTCAGTTCGTAATGTACACATGGGTGGCACACACGAGTAGGGATACAATGAGGAGGGGAACAAAAGCTCATAAGACGAGCAGCAGCGTCCCCCTCCGTGCCTCGCTCGCGCAGGTTGGCTGCGATCTTCCACTGCGTGCGTGCGATCGGCGATGAAGAGAGACAGAGAAGTGACCCGTCCCTGCAGGGAACGCAGAAAATAGGAGAGGAGAATCGTGGATGCGGAAAGCAGGCTCCGCGCATCTCACCTACACCTGCCGGTGTGTTTGATTTTCACGAGCTGAGCTCAAAGCGGTGCTCAAAGGGCTCTCGAGGCATCTCACCTCCACCTGCGATCTCAGGCGCTCCAGCTTGCTCTCCTGCGTCCGGAGCGCGTCTGTCAGCAGCTTCACCAGCAGCGCTCGCTTGCGCTCACACGCAGCCATCTGGTCGCAGCACTGCTGCAGCACGTGCCTCTTGGTGTCCAGCCTGTCCAACACCACTGCCCTCTCGTCAGCCTCTGGGAATGAACAGGCACGGGGTGGAGTGGAGAAACACTGAGAGGAGAAAGACAGCGAGTGTACACAGTGTGTCTCCTCTCACACGCCGCCATCTGGTCGCAGCACGTGGCGCTTCGTGTCCAGCCTGTCCAACACCACTGCCCGCTCGTCAGCATCTGGTTGGTGCAAGGGGCATGATGGGACAAGTGGGAGCAAGCGGACAAGGGTCAAGACTCAAGAGAAGTGGGACAAGGAATCAGCCGTCTGGTCGCAGCACTGCTGCAGCACGTGCCTCTTGGTGTCCAGCCTGTCTAACACCACTGCCCGCTCGTCTGCCCCTGGTGGGTGACGGGGGCTTGGGGGAAGAAGAAAAAGGCAATTGGAAAAGAAGAAGGCTTTAACTTGCAGCACTGCTATAGCACAGCACGTGCCTCTTGGTGCCCAACCTGTCCAGCATCACCACCCGCTCGTTCGCCTCTGGTGGGTGCAAGGGGAGGAATTGGGGCAAGGGGAGCAGTGGGAGCAAGGAAGAAGGCATAAGCTCGCAGCACTGCTGCAGGGAAGTTGAGAGCTGTAAGCTCCTTCTAAATGGATCGCAGCTCTGATGATAACACTGCAGCGCCGCACCCACCCACCCACACTCGCATACACATGACCACAGCACACAACAGAGAAAACACACCAACAAACAGCCGCACACAGGCACTCACTCACCTGACGCATTGGCGGGCGACTTCAGTGCTGTCAACTCTTTCTCAATGGTCTGTAGCTCGTTGATTATGGCGCTGCAGCGCCGCACCGCCGTGTCCTCGTCTTTGCTCGCATCCTGCACCGCGCCATAGACAGACGATATGCGCTCCAGTGGCCCGCGCACCTGCCAAGACGGAGGAGGGGTTGGGGCGGGTGGTTGGGTGGTGGGGGAGAGGGGAAAAGGGAGTGAGTGAACAACGGTGCAGGAGCACATGTGCCTGTTTGCATCTGTCCTCATTCTTACTCGCGTCCTGCACTGCACAGCACAGCACACCGACGACATCTGAATTCGGGAAGGGTGTTGGTGGAGAGAAATGAGTGGTGGGGGGAAGAGTGACAGCGAGATGCATAACCGTTGTTGTCTCTGTCCTGCACTGTACACCTCACACTGACAATATGTGCCCTCTCTCTCCCTCTCTCTCTCGCTCCCTCTCTTACCTTCTCTACCCCTCCTCCTCTCGAACCCCCTCTCCCTCCCTCTCCCCCTCTCTCCCTCTCTCCCTCCCTCTCTCCCTCCCTCTCTCCCTCTCTATCTCTCTCGCACGCGCTGACCACTCTCCTCACCACCGCCATAGAAATCAATTCTGAGGCGCCCAAAAAAATCCTCTGCAGCAGCTGCCTCCCTCAGGAATGATTTCACAGGCACTTGGAAACGCATCTGCAACACTGCATCCCACTCCCACTCCCACTGCATCTCAATCGCACTGCACCTCCTTGCACACCATTCGCGCCTCACCTTGGCCGTGGAAGCGGCTCCCGCGGCTGGCTGCTCGTCCGCCTGAGCGGCTGACGTGGCGGGCGGCGCGGTGGCGAGATCCCCCAGCAGCAGCTTCCTCAGCGGCTCGTCGCGCTGCCCAAACACCTTGCGCTCCTCCCATATGTCCACCTGGCGGCGCGATCGCCACGTGGCGCGGGGTGGTTAGAGGGTGGGTCACAACACCCACGGGGTGTGGGGGGAGATTAAGGGGGTGGGGGTGGAGGGAGGGGGATGGAGCGAAACAAAGAAATAGAGAGCGAGAGGGACGGGAGAGGGTGGGGAGAGGGGGGGGAGTGAGGAAGGGGAGCGGAAGAACGCGAAAGGAGAAGTGAGGTGAAATGCAGTGCGTACAACCCGGAAGGTTGATTTGCCAAAGCCGTCAGACGAAACCCCCAGGAGCTCTTGACGAGCCGCCAATGCGACACCCTCGCCTCACCCTCCAAATGCAGCGAGATAAGGGATCACAATACGGAGGATTTTTGAACGCGAACCCGATCTTGAGGCGGCTCTTCAGACCGTGGCACGGCACGCTCGGTACGCGTGCCAGAGACATTCCTGGCACTAATATGATTTTAAACTACTGGGAGCATTCCGGGTACTACCACTTGACCCAAATTTCCGGGTACACTCCGCTACTACCACTGATCTGGAATGCGGTGCAACTGGAACGACGTACGATGCGGAGGGTTGATTTCCGCGTGCTGTCGGGGCCGACGCGCACGAGGTCCTGGAGCGCGGAGGGCAGCACCTGCCAGAACTCCTGAATGAACTCGGGGCCCTTCTTGCGGCTGTTCTGCAGAATGTCGTTCGCGAGGTACAGCAGTGGTAACTTGCGATCCTGCGACGTGCTCGCGAAGTGCTTCTGCCATGTCTGCACCACCTGGTCGGCGCGCTTCCGGTGGAAAATGCACCAATGGGAGAGCGCTGACCAGGGGATGGGAGAGAGAGAACGAGAGAAAGGCAGGGAGCGAGAGACGCACGTAACGGTCAGATATCAAACGGTAACGGTCACGGTAACGTCTCGGAACAGCTTAACTTCACCGCCTAATGTCGTTCTTAAAAAAAAACAAAACAAAAAAAAAACAAAAAAAAACAAAAAAACGAATTGAGGTGTAGAGATGGGAAATGGTAAACGAGGGTGATCATAATATAGAAGTCGGATTACGGCTGGCCGGGACTAGTGACTGTGAGGCGGATGGATCAGACAGGCGCACGGACCAGCGAGGGTGAACGACCAGCGAGACAGGTTCTTACTCTCAATGCTCTGCTGCGATGCATTCAGCTTCGATAGCTTCTCAAAAAGAATGACGTCGTTAAACGCGTTCATCCTGCACCCCGCGAGAAAAGACTTGATAGACCAAAAGGCCGGCCCTATGACGGCCGACAATACCTATTTCATAGCCTACTTTATCGAACTACGAATAACTAACCGCAATAACCGATGAAGCCTTGAACCCTAATTGCTCCTCGCGCACCGCAACTAAGGCCGCAGTATTTTCGGTTCAGGTGCAAGGGTTGCAACTAGCACTGGTTTTGAACCAGAAATTGAAAAATCATACAGATGGAAGGCGGTTCACCAATATTTCGGAACGGCTTTATGCGTTACGCAGCGGTTGACTCGCTTCCCAAGTCACGAAGTATTGATAGCGCCCTGCTTTCCAGAAGTTACGTAACAAACGACAGGTGCAGCCAGGTTTATAAAAAGAACGTTGTTTATCCTCACTGGGTTCACCCATTTTCACAATGACCAAGAGTAAGCGCTCCGGGCGCTGTCCAGGTATGGGGGCAGGGCCCAAACATCCATGTGCAAGGTCTGGAGAGGGTGTAGTAATGGGAAGAAACAAGAAAAAGTGAGGGGCGACACGCTATCTGCCCTCGACGCAAGGGGTGCACGGCGGCATAGACGAGGGAGGGAGAGTGGGGAGTGGCGACGGGTGACCACAGACAAGACCATGCTGATCCATGAGACGGCGGTGCCACAGGAGCGATGGGTGATTGAGCGACCGACACGAGTACGATGCGACTACCTGACCAGAAGTATGAACCTAGGTGGACGCAATGTGCAACGTAATGCACGACACCGGGTCCCGGAGGTACGTGGCAAGAGGTGACCTAGTGGTATCATCCGTACAAGTCGCAAACAAATCGTGTCTAGGAAACGTGGTGGTGACGCGACGTCCTAAAAACGACCGACACCCACCAAGTTCCTGGGGAACAAAGAGATGTGCAGACCCGTGAGGGAGCAAGAGGAGGCTACCGTACAAGAGAGTGCATTAGTGTTTCGTGCGATGACCGGCCGAGAGGAGGGTCCGCGACATGGGCTGGAAGCGGCCAGAGGTGGGTGCGGAAGTAGCACTGGGATACGCCGGAGTCTGGTGTGAAGGAAAGGGACGCGCCGATGGTGGAGGCACATGGGCTGGAAGCATTAGATGATCTTGCACAGAGATAGCTAGAGAACATAGTCTATGCGTACACGGACAATAAGATCCAGCAGCACTATAGTCATCAACATACATGGCAAACAAAGCATATCCTATTTGAGACATGTCCATATCGAATACATCAAACCATGGTGCAACAGTGTAGGCAAGTCCGGAGGAAAGCCATAAGCCCAAATCGGGCGTAGAAGAGGTCGTCGAGTTCGCAGTTGAGTGATTGTGCGTCTGCAAACGGTGCCGCGCAGTAGAGCAAATTGGGGTTGGTAGTGGCAGGGCTCAATAGGGGAGTCACGCATCACCTAGCTGTCATACCTGCCGCCGCGTCCACGCTCCTCGAGCCATTAGGTCCTTACTGATGCTGGGAAACCCACTGCTGGAGCTGCTCTTGTTGCGACTGCTGCTGTTGTTGTTTCTGTTGCGACTTATACTCCTGTTGCTGAGTCACCATCGCACCCCTAGTATCAGCACCTCCTTCTGCAGCAACCCTAGAACCATCACTCCCAGCGTCAGCAACCCCTAAAGTACCAGCACCTCCACCTCCTCCACGATCACGACCACCCCTGCAGTGTCCTCGCCACCAAAGGTGACAAAGACGGTTGCGGCCTCCACTGTAACAATGGCCCAGGAACAGCAGCAGAGGCAGCTGGGCTAGGGATTTGGGGTGGAGCGCACCCCTTAAAGATGTGTGGAACTGCCGTGGTGGAGGAAATGGTGCGAAGTCGATACTCGATCTCAGTGAGACGGGGCGCAAAGAGATCGATAGTGAGGTTCATAGGGTGCATGGCAAGGAGGGTGTCACGTGCAGGCACGAGGCGGTCAGGGAAGCGGGTCGCTAGGAAGTGCAGAGTGAGATACATGAGGGGGAGGGGGGGGTGTGTGCGTAGCTAGGTGCTAAGTAGCGAAAGTTAGCATCAGTTGAGTGGTGGGTAGCGAGATCGGACACTACTTCGCCGTTGCGACCTGCAAAAGTGCGCTCGCTTCGCCGGCAGCGGGAGGCAACCAAGATCGAGGCTCGGAGAAGCTTGCACGACGCCCAAACCGAGTACGCAACCTGGGCCACGTGGTGAGCCTCCCGCTCCCCCGAGTTGGATTCAACATTAAGGGTAGGAGGACGCTCGGGGGCATGTAGCTCACCGACACGTCGGCGTACAGGTAGACGGCGTTTAAGAGTTGGCTCTACAAGTGGAGCTGGACGTCGAGCAACGATGCGTCAGAGTTGATTGCCTGCCCCACCGGATCGAGCTGCAGTACGAACTTGAACGCCATGATAGAAGGGGCACAGCTAGATCGAATAAAAGGGGACAGCAAGAAGGGAGGAGAACACAAGCTGAGGTAAACCCTAACCGGATCTGCAGATGTGTCAAATTATATGCCTATGTCATAATAGAATGTAGGCTTTAGTGGGGTAGCTAATGTAGGGTATAGTTTTTTGTTACTTGTACCCAACTTTCTCGATGTGCCATCCACCTTTTTCCCTTTACTCTCGACATGGTATTAAGAGCAAAATAGGTCCCTAGGACCGTTTTACGACTGTTTTTCAGGGCCCACCAACCGTTTTCCGCTGGTTACCGAGTTACCGTAGCCCGCGGGGAGAAAACGTGGCAGCAGTTTCGGGAAGATTTAATCGAGCGTTTTGAACCAATTAATACAACCTACATGGCGCGGCAGCAGATACACCGACACAAGCAATACAGTACTGTAACACAGTACACGCAGCAGATGGAGTTACTGTTCAACCGCATCACCGACCTGACCGAAGGCGAAAAAATCCAGGCGTACACCGAAGGGTTAAAAATGGAGATTCGGCGGCAGGTGATCGCGGCGAATTACAACAGCTACAGAGACATCGTGCGTGCTGCCGAGCGATACGACGCGCTCACTCAAGGTCAACCCGAAACACGACGTTTCACGCCGAACCGTACATTCAGCACGGAGCGATCGGCACCCCCCACGTTCGCCGAACCTATGGATATCGACAAATACGACGCGAAGCACCAGCCGACAAAATGCGAATTCTGCGGCGCAGCAGGACATTAGATTTTGTCGTGCTACAAAATGAAGAAAGCACGTGCGGCACTCCGGGACGGAAATAGTGGAGCACCCCCGAAGTAAAAAAATGGGAATCGCCAGTAGCCGCGGATCGACCTGGCGATCGCGTAAAGATCCGAAAAGCAGAAAAAGGCGACGACGTGGCGACTTCGGAGCGGGTGAAAAAAGGAGAAAATGATGGCGCGAATTTAAAACGTCACGACCGGCCGGCATCAGGGGAAATCGCCTAGGCAAATGGAGGCTCCGCGAAAAAAGACTCTGCACCGACCGGGAAACTCCAGCCGAACACCCACGAAAGTAAGAATTAGTTAAAAGCATCCTATAAAGATGCTCTAACGAAGAATATTGCTTCTCGTGGTTTTCAAGCCTTTGAAAAATTCAGGGGAGGTTTAGAGGCCAAGAAAAAGCCTTTAGAAATTATTCAGGTACCTGAGAAGTTGGGCAAAGTACTACGGAGCGTAGAAAAGGGTCGTGCGTTCCGTGGAATTAATATTCTCTCCCCGCAGCACAGTGTTAAGGCTCCCCGTTGCCCACAGGTGAAGCCTACACAGCTACCAAGGCTTAGAGGAGACATCCAGGCTAAGGATAAATTATACAAGCCTCGGAAAAATCCTCCTACCCCCCAGGTGAAGTTGGAGAGCGCTGAGTCAGGTATAGGAAAAAGGGAAGGTATTAAGTTTGATGTTCCCTATGATCATATTAACGAGACCCTCTTTCGCTACTCAGCGCAGCAAAAACCACTACTCCTCGAGGTGTTATGCAATGGGCGACGCCTCCAGGCACTGGTGGACAGCGGTGCAACTCACTCGTGTGAGAATAAGCGAACAGGGAATGGATGAACTAGCAGTGAAATGAGTACAAGTAGGAAACCCTAGAATTGTGTACCCCCTATAGGCTAACCCACTGTAGCCTACACAAGCATAACATATATAATGTTTGACACACCCCCATAGGCAAAGTGGGGGAGAACAAGGGGTCACAAGACCAGTCAAGCAAAGCAAAGCAAGCTCAGGGTGGATCACAAAGTCACCACACAGTCCGAGCACAAGAGCAGGGCCAGAGGCCAGTTCACATGCAGGAGTACAGACATATATATAAAACTAGACAAGCAAGAGCAGGTATATATATATGTCACAGTACAAGTGAAGTCAAGAGGAGAGCAAGTGAGGCAAGACAGACACAAGACCCAGCTGGGTGCAAAAGCGCTGATGATCACAAGGCGCGAGTGCCTTGGTGAACACATCAGCAGTGTTGGCCTCAGAGGCCACGTACGCAAGTCGCAACTGACCACGCTGCTGCAGCTCACGAGCAAGGAAGTAGCGGAGAGCAATGTGCTTCGTTCTGTGCTCCAAGCGCTGCTCTCGACACAAGGCCAGCATGGCCTTGTTGTCTACGTACAGCACTGGAGGAGAACGAGGCGGCTCTCCAAGGTCAGTCAGCAGGTAGGTGAGCCAGCGAAGCTCCTGTGCAGCCATGGCCCCGGCGTAGATCTCAGCCTCACAACTGGAGCCGAGAACTGAAGACGAGCGAGTAGACCGCCACGAGACAGAGCCGGAACCAAGGCTGAAGGTGTAACCCTGTGACGACCGCTGCGTAGCCTGGTCGTCAGCCCAAGAAGCGTCCGCGTGGCCGGTAAGGACCACTGGACTCCGCCCTCCAAGCACAAGCCCCATGCCCGACGTACTGCACAGGTAGCGCAATACCCTCTTCGCTGCAGCCATGTGCTCTGGTCTGTGTCTCCCAGGAGCAACATAGCGTGCAAGAATGCTCAGAGGATATGCAAGGTCAGGTCGTGTGCAGGTCATCAGGTACATGAGGCAGCCAACAAGCTCTGCATACG